TCAGAATAAAATAATTAAATACGGTGTGATAACACAAGTATGCTAGTATGATTTGGAATCGAATCTCCGAACCTGACATGACTCACTACCTTCACATTCGCTGCTAACATGTAACTAAAGTTTGGAATAATAATCGTCGGTTGCACATGGTCTTTAAAGATATGCCTAGTTAGAATAGAGTCGCGTTACTGACCAACAATCTGTACCACTTCACAATTCATCATTAAAATCAAGCTACATAAGCTACTAGAATCGATAGGCAATATCCATCATGATATTAGCAATATGACGACATTTTGTCCTGGTTTATTGGCACCTGAATACCCAGGCTCTTATTTAGAGATGGATTCTCCTTAAAACAGTTGTTGACTTCTTCACTGAACAATATGCGGGAGGCGAGCCGCACAGAAATTAGGATTTTGCCCAAGGACGCAATCACGTCAGCACAGACCAGTGTCCTGAGAAACATAAACCATCACAGCTTCGATCATACTCCGATCCTTACGTGAGATTACGTAAGCTAATACTCTAACAGACAGAGCTATCACATGTATAAAACTAAATTGTTTCTCTTAAGGATTGTGGGCCTTAAACCTATAGGATTTGTTGCCGCATACTTATTAACACAACACAATTAGTGAGAGTATCTAGTGTCGCTTCCAATATAAACATATCTAGCGTTTTCTATAATGTAACATACATCAGCTTTAATCTGACATATTGCAATAATTATATTTAAGCGAATGGAAATGAAAAAACGAAAACTTCCACGGCCATCTGTTAATAATCACAATATAACCTTGACATCTTTACAGTATTTGCTGCGTGAAATCTCTTAGCACATGCGTAATGACGGCACCAAATGGTGTTTCTAACATCACATCTATGACAATGGGGCTTAATTATGAAAAAACAACTCCAAGTAATGCATAATATCATTCATTGAAAAATGAAAATGTTTTCAGCCAATAATTAAAGCCTATCGCATAGCAAGTCAATTCCCATTCGGTTCAAATGTAACAAGATTGAACGATATACAATGTTCATCTTGGTAAGCAAGACGTTATTTTTTGTTTTGAATGTAGTAAATTATAGGTACCGCGTTCGTCCATCTCAATCAAATTTCACTCTTGTTTCGCAAACGAATAGATTGCAGTATTTTAGTCTGTGTATAGAAATTTATTCTGTAATATATTCAAGGCCAACTTTTCCAAGTAAATTAGCAACACAAATCGATGGACTTCAAATGATGTGCAATATGATTCCCATTTGAGTCATTACACACATGTATTGTGCAGCCGGCAATCGCAGCATCTGAAGATCATTTCGTTATTTTAGTTTTTCAGACAATATGCAAACCAGACTGAAATAAACTGGATTGTAGATTTAAATATCATCGGTTTCGGTCCGCAGATGTATTCGTAAATGTCTAAATTAAATATTTTCATTTACCTAATGGTACAACTGTGATGTAGTTGAACAAACTTAATATTCCAATTTGCGTATGTTTTTATCAAAATTAGCGAGTTTATGTCACTCATTGTTATATCCAGTATAAGCAAACTGTTCACGGATTTGTAATAGGATAACTACGTCATGTTTTACTGTTCAAACCTTCATTTATTATCATTATTACAATATTTTCTGTGAAATACATCAATTCAAACACGTCAAACTTCAGTACTTTGAGCACCCTGCACAGTGTTGTATGTGATGAAAATGGACTGGCCAGGCCATTTAAAGCATAATGTGACAGGGTAGGGTGTCATCTTATGATATATCAGTGTGATGGCACTAAAAACATTTCGTCAATGGCTAAATCATCCGTGACAACCGTCTTTATTTTCCTAGCAAACAAGGTCATGACAGTTCATTGGGATAGCACTAGAGAAACAGATTTAACGCTGCTTAATCCAATACAAACGTTGCATGATTTCCTCAATGTGAATGTGTTAATCATCATACAGATACATATTTTAGGGTTTTTTTAGGGATATGTATTCAGATAATTTCATATATACACGGCGTCCACAAATGGTGGTAATTGTTGGAAATGACCTTTCACTGAAATGCGATAGCCCAGAAACGGTACCAAGGCACGCATACTTGTCACATTGCCACAACGAGGTTCCCATAAAGTCCTCGGGGAACATCATTGTCTAGAAGAATTCTACAAACTACACACAAATGAGAGAAAAGGAGACAGTGGTCGAAGATGTTTCAACAGCTGTTGACATTAGATTCTCTCTGCACACAACTTACTCTTTCGAGCTGCATGAATTTATCGGAAAAAACTGCGGATATACGCTTGAAAAATAATTAACCTGTGGCTTATTGATTAGGTGTTTTAAGTAAGCACAAGTCATCTTCCTTCTAGAACCCAGCAAAGGGCGACAAACCTAGAAGAAAACAGTGGGTAAAAGTAGTGGGTAAAAATCAATAAGAATGCATACCAACCCCAGTTTGACATAAGGGACGGGGGCGGGGATGGGTGGATAGGGGAGGGGTTCTTTTAGTCGAGATGGCAATTGATCGGATTTCTGCCTTGTAACACTGACCCTGTGAGTTGGGCGTGAGAAGTTACCCTGTTATACCCAAAGTATGATTCGTAATAGATTAAATTTACCGTAGATTTGGACTTTTTCTTTTTCAAAACAAGCAAAAAATCGTTTACTCCCAATGTTTATTTGAAATTGCCTCAATTTAGGCCCCAGTTTAGTGTTCGTCCCTGAGAGGGAGGCACACGGCTCTGTAATTGTCAGAAATACTAGTCTTTAATAGTTAATAATTCCTACTTAACGCTTGCTTATCCTTTGTCCCCCTTAAAGGCGAAGGGGGAATTCTGGTGTGTGCCTTCGGCGGTAAACTTCATTGTAGTATAACGTTGATATCAGTTCCGCTGTATCACAAGGAAACTTACACGACCATAACAAAGTCTTCCATGTGAGGCCGTTCTTAAATGACATTAGATATTGATAGGATATTGAACAACATCAAACTTCAACCAAACAAAACCTTTCACTTAAGATAGGAGACTAGGATATACAAACTCAAATCTCATTAGCACAAATTCTATCATCATAATATCATCAGTCACGGTCATGAGAACCGACAATTTAACGGTTTTGCACACTAGAATCAATATTACGTGGCCTTTTATCTAACAGAAAGTGGACTAACCATAGGTAATATCGATTTGTCCTCTTTCTTTCATAACAAAATGTTGGCAATCAGCTGATGGCGATGCTAGTAAGAGAATTGGATGAAGTAATTCCATTTTTCCAAAAGGAGGTATGTCAGATTAGTGTTTACAGTCCTCGTCACAGTTTAAATCATATATTGAATTACTGAATTATGGTAACGTTTCGGACCATTTCATAGTGTTATCACACTGAGTGTGTATGATATTAAAAAAGTGTTTGGTCATTTCGAAGTCCTAAAAGGACATAACAGCTGTATGATGCGCTTCACGTCATTGTGTTGCTCAACATATGGTCCATTCATTTTCATTTCTTTGTACAATTTTTGCAAGTCGCAGTTTGTTCGATATGAAAGCGTTTTCCCCAATATTTCGATGTAGAAAACTTAAAAATAAACTAGCAGCAAATATTTTCGAGAGACGTAGATTGACAGAGATTGTGCGGATGCTTTATGGCCGTCATAGAAATCTTAATGGAAAATATTCTATTTCATCAGTCTTCTCCTAGCTTCAAATTTAGCCCTTAGCATAATTGACAAGTCCTCGAAGTCTAATTCATTTTTCGCTCTACTGAATCTAATTATAAATTTGTATTATAAGGAACCGTTCATTTGTGCGTCTTTTTACAATACTGTGATATCATGTTGGACGTGTTTGGTACTCGTTAGTGTACCTGGTGGTTCCGTTAATGTTCAACCTTTTCTCATTTAAAACTGTGACATTACTTGGATTGACCACAATCAGCAGATGATGGTTACCATTCCGAAACTTTTGGTCTTACTATTTTTTTTTTCAGACACATCTGAAAATACTTGTTATTATAAATTTATTGTCTTTCTATTTCAGTTCCATTAATGCCATGTATTGAATACATGTACTTATTTGAAATTAGTGTTTCATTTTAGATGGTTCTGATATTTTGATCATCCGGTTTGTTTTAAGTGTTGTCTTGAAACTAACATATTTCGCAAATAAACCCAAAACTAGTGATTGAAAATTCAGTGTATTGGAAATTAATTCATTAATTTATGTTTTATGCTAAGGATAGAACGAAAATAACTGATATTGCAAACTTTTGAGATGTTTATTGTTTTGAGTGTCAATTACATTTTTTTCGTCTGAAATTGAAACTTATTGAAACTTGAGAAAAGGGATGCAATGTCATCAAAACAGTACTAACAAAATGTATTCCTAATGCATTCTCTCAAGTTTGTGTATAACAACGATGTTAAAATCATTTATTAGATGCCACGAGCATGGTAATCACAGACTACTAATTTGATTTATATCGTTTAACCTCCTAACAGCTAGGGCCATCAATTACACCTATGATAAATAATTAGGACATATGAAATATTCTAATTGCTTCACCTATAGACTAGTGCCACCTGTGAATCAACAGCATTAAAGGTGATATATCAAATCTCCCTTTTGACGATAATACCCTTACTCGTCTAAATACATTAGTAAAGCGTCGGTCTACTTGTAAGTTTGGACATTAACTTATGAACACTGGTCATTTTTTAACTTTTACATTTACCAACAGCGCGTGTATTTTTTTAAAGTTGTGGAAGATGTATTGTCAATGACATGTTTAAGAATAATAATAAAAACAAGAAAAACAAGTAATTCTAGGCTACCATAAGTAAATACTTAATTTGATATGCTGCATTCATTGAAATAACTATTAGTAACATGTCATTCAAAAACGGAAGTTCTAAAAATGGGACACACGATACATTATCCAAAATGCTTTCGGCATTTAGATCACGTGCGATACATTTCAACAAACAAACCTTACCTGCAATGACGTCATAACCCCACCACTGTTTCCATCTGTCTTCGACAACTACAAAAAATTAAGATAATCAATTAACAAGGTGTCTTTAAAGTGAAAGGCATATGCGTCTATTCTGTCTAGATTCGGGGAAAACTATAGACAGTTTCTCATTTGTCTGGAATCGACCAATTTATCACCCTAAGAACCATCATGCAACATAAAAGTGATGTTCACATCGGTTATGATATACCTGATATAGAATTAGTTGAAAGGATTGAATCAAATCTGGACGTATGTCTAGCTAAATGTGGTTTTACACTTTCATTTAGACCACTGAAATGTCAAACGTTCTCCTTGAAATAGCAATGTTTTTAAACTAAGACACAAGTTTAAAAATATCAACTTTTAAAATCAGCTGGCAATCTCTGTCACAGAGAAGAAGAGTTCCGGTGATACAGATGACTGAAAATACAATGGCTGACAGTCATTATTTGAAGTTACCATGCTGGTACTGGTTTTGACACCTTCCATCATTGAGGAACATTCAAAGTCATTTTCCTTGTCTCTGTTAATTACACCGTTCGTCAATTTGGAACGTACGCTAATAGATGTACATGTACAGTTACAATGGGAGAGAAGACGAGTGTTCGACAAATTGATGGAATATTAGCTCAAGTGTGGAACAGCAACTCCAGGGCAGGCCCTTAGCACGTCTGATAGCTGACGAAAAACGTCCTTTTGGGATTGTTTATGGTATGTAGCAGCGTTGGGAATGGTCACTATAACACGTAGCGCTGATGAGGCAACGCTTTTCCACAAAACAACGAACAAAATGTGATATTTCACCATTTTGAGTCAGTCCCCAATGGAATACAATAGCGGGTCGTGCAGACCTGCTTTTAAAATATACTAGCATGAGTCTCACGGCACAAAGAGATAAAAATCCTGCTCAACCAATGTCACATATGGAGACAGTCGACTAATCACGTATAGATCTATAAATGTGACGCATGCCTAAATTTATTTAATTTCCGCAAGACTGAATGCTGTTTTAAGATATACCAATAACGGAATCGAATGAAATAAATCACACAAATAAAGAAATAACTAACAAACAAGAGGAAAACTAAATACGAAATTTGAAAAGGCCCAACCAGCATATGATACAACCTGGGCGTCGGGTAGCCATTTCGATAATCTGAGCAGCTCTTAATTAAAGAGAGGAAAACTTAAGACAAAAGGAAATCTTTCTACGAAATATGAGAAAGATCCATTAGGTAGCGATATAAAGAATTAGATCAGGAAGGACGCTGCGCGGCTGGAACAGACGAAAATATGATGGTGGTCAGATGAATAATTCACAAGCATATGTAAAACTTCAACCAATTTCAAAATTGCATTTGTGTCTATAATCTACATAAAAACTGGAACAAGAAATAATATTGATACATGATATTTGTATTCCTATCAAAATCATAATAAACTAAAGATAGTTAAGCATCATTTTTTCTACGAAAGCAATACGTCAGATGTAAATCATGAAATTGTCATGTGCAAACGCAATAGGTGGTTTCATACATTAAGTTGCTGTGAAAATACCATAAATCCCGTTATTTGTTGAACAAGATGGCAACATGAAACACTTGTTTTTAATCATGCAGAACATTTCCAAGTAAAGAAGATCTGATTAATCAATAAGCTAACTGCGCTCTGAAGTCCAGAACTGCAGTTGCCATTATCCCGTCTGGAGATCGGTATCGGAAGGGATTTGGCCGAGACCCAGTGGCGCCGTCGTCATGTCATGTCAGCCTGCGCCGACTTGGTCAACATAACGTTCCTTTATAGAGGCTTATGAAAATTTGGCTTTGTGCTTTTATGTTTGGGCGAAAATATCTCAGTAATGCCGAACAAAAGTATCTGCGCCGTCATTGACTTTGCGCAATTTAGTAGTCGTTGAAGATTTAATTGTAGGATGCAAATTGTTTCTGTAGTAAAAGTTGTGTATTTACCGCAAATTGGATTACAAACATATAACACAAAATACAATCAATGCAATAAAATGTGCTGTACCCTTGTTCCTATGTTGATATTTTAGCGAGGTAGCAATTAAATTTGCGTTAACATGAACCCCTTTCAGAACTATTTATTAAAAATGAAAGCATATTTCAAAATACAGTATTTGAATTTGGACTTACATGCTTAAAAATAACACAGAAATGTCAAATGAAAACAGGCGAGAACTGCAGATGTTACCATGAAATGCTAATTTTGTATTACGCTGACAAAAGTAGATCTAATAAGAGACGGTCAAAATAATACAAATGTAACAATAGCTTACAACACAAAGTACATCATCTAAACCCAAAAAGCCATATTATTTTGTTTTGATATTCTTAGCATATTTCAGGGTCCATATAGTGTCTTCATCACAAATTAAAAATTTCCACCGGTCCTGTGGAACGGTCCGCTCCATATTTTGCGGTCCTATATTTCTTCTTAATGTCTTTGTGTTGTTTGAAAGATGAATATTAGTAAAACTTTCAGTCTTTGTAACGCATTTTAGTGGCAATGCATCCTAAAACACAGGACTTGCTTAAAAGGATGGATCAGTACCGACAGGATCCCATCAAGTCAAGATAACAATACATGTTTACAGATGTCTGAGTCAGGAGACTGAGAGCTGTACCACCTTTCTCGTAAATTATAATCACTATTATGAGTCCCATGTCATGATGACAACAAAGTTGTTCCGGTTAATGTGAACTGTATGTAGGCTGGTGACAGATTCTGTTGTTTTTCCATGCTTTTGTAACATGCAAACGTATGATGTATTTTCCTTTGACACGAACTTTTTCCGCTGGAGACTTCGGCCTTTCTTAACAAGTACCCAATTACAAGAGACCAGGGTCCATGGAGGAACTTGTAAATCTGATCATTGGGCGTTATACATTGTGCGAATTTTAACACATAGTAGCATATCTTTATCCATTTCAAACGGTAATACTGCAAATGATACCATGAAGTAAACCATATATCATGTTTTCAACATCCATGCAATATGTCACGATATCACTGAACGTGTGTATCACAATAAGGCACCTGGATATCAATGTAGTATAAAATCGTGAAAATTTAAATTATTATTTAACGTTTGATAATCGTTAGATTGTCTGTCGGTTCATTTCTTTTACACCTTGTTCTCTTTTGAGGACGTGCAATTACTTACTCGGATGGACCAAGTTTACAAGGCCGATGTCGGCGATGAAGCAGAAGACGCTAACTCTTCATGAACACATGTTCTTATTCTACTTGTGACCGTCAGTCTTTCTTTTGTTCATGTATTGCCCTAGTTTTATTTGCCATGAGTTTGAATTATGATTATGTTGACATGTTGGTATTTTCTTTTAATTTTTTTGAAACAAAGTCAAAAATGGTTTTTATATAAATAAGACCTTTTCGCTTAAACTGGTGATAAAAATCGAGTACATTTTAGTGATTTAAGCGTTCATGTTATTTTCTGTCCTTTTGCTATAATTAAGTACCACTGCTGTCTCGGTTTGATATTAAGCAAAATTATTTTTAAGTAAAATCGCTTGTTATTGAAAGCAAGGGCCCCAAAATATATAAATAGCATTAGTTCTGAGAAACGTTTATGTTAATAGCGGTCGTGTACTTTTCAGTTCATCTTATGTTTTGTACAATAACACAGGTGCTTTTCCCCATCATCGTGTGAAGACGGAAAATCACTGAAGATGTTCTGGCTGTTATTCTTTCATTTGACGTCGGTGGAAAGAAAGTGGATATGTAGGGGCCCAGAGCCATAATTCATTTACGTAAGACTACATATTAATATTAATAAAAAATATTTTGTCTGTATCGACTAATTTAGCAGAAGCGTACGTGGTAATACTCTGTACGATATGACAATTACGTAGAAGGGAAGCGTTGATAGATTGCTAGGAATTACTTTGGTCAAGAGGTTATCGTCAGAACGCCAATCGATTGAGTATATTTGATGGTGTTAATTAGTGCTGGGCATCTGTCTTAACGCGCCTTCTCCGTGCTGACCACTCTGACATCACTTGACACGACAAGAAATAACATCAATTACCACCATCATAATTAAATCAGAGTTAATTTGCAAATGGTTTTCCATCAAATCTTATGCCCCTTCCGACAAATAAGAGTAATCATCTATGGTGTACTTCCAAAATTATTTTCGAATAAGTGTTTCCCTCATAAAAATTCTGGAACTTTACTAATCGTCTAATTGGACGTTCATATTCTAAAAATTGTAACCATCTTCTTTGTACGTTAGTGTCATAGGGAAAAATAACATCATGATGTGACTGTCATGTTAATTTTGTAAAAGGCATGTTTAAAAACATATTTCTGTTTTAACTATGATCGCCTTTTTGAGATTTGAACAGGGCGAGCAACAGACTTAGACAACTATTTTCCGATGTAAAACCGAAAAGTGTTGCCTATTTAGTTTTAGCTGGAAATCAGAGATGTGCGGCGACCTGCTACAAAAGAACAATAGGTAAACCACTGGCAATATGTGTATACGTTAACTTTCAGTAGGAAGGGGTAATCTCGTGTAACTTGTATTCAGTGCAGATTTACTCCTCAAATATGACTAGCTAGATACATTAATAATGAAATTGGGTGCGCGATTTGTTTGGTACTTTACCATCGTAGTATGACTTTGTTGAGAATGCTTAAAGACAAATCTGGCTATTAGTTAGATGGCAGATGGCACTGGAAATAATTTTATTTATAACTTATTGTAAATATCAAGGAAACACCAAATAGGTATTAATGACAAAGAAAAAATCAAATTATCTCCTGATAAATAGCATATCTTGATATTTTACGTGATTATTTAAAGGCGAGGCAACGAATATTTTGCGCTTCCTAGTGCTATTACACTGAAAAAATATTACCTAGCAGGACATCAAATCTTGGTCACATCATTACACTACCACGACACTGAGTAACTACCACTTTATAGACTCGATGCTCTCCGCACAAAGGCGAACGTTTACCTTAATTCAAAACGTGAGGCA